CGTGGTGGTGCACGCCTGTAGTCCCGGCTACTCGGGAAGGAGAATCACTTGAACCCAAAAGGCAGAGGTTGTAGTGAGTGGCGATTGAGCCACTGCCCTCCAGCCTGAGCGACAGAGCAAGACTCCATATCAAAAGAAAACAAAAAAAAGGAATCACAATATTCACAACCTACAAAATTCTAACATAAAACTAAATTCTAACATAAAACTTGCCTCTAACTTTCTAGACGAGAAAAATAATTACTCTCAAAGTTTTCTCAGTAACAAACGTGAACAACGAAAATTAGTCTGCTAAAAATCTACAGTCAATGTACCCAAATTTTGCTGGAAAGGTTAACTAGGACGCAAGGATGTAAGCCACATCTCCTAATCATCTGATATTCTGTACTTGCTGGAGAGGTGAAAATCAAGGTAAATAAAACACAGTACTCCAGCAAATCTGGAAGAAAGCTGCTTTTAAAAAAGATCCCATCTACAAAATACCAGAATCACAGATTTATTTTGGATAGACCTTTGCAACAGAGAGGTGAAAAGACCACGTGCCTGCTGATACTAGTTTTATTACCAGCTTACTCCGCGCGTAATGGGTTTGGCTGATGAAGGAAGTCAACTTTGCCTCTATTTCCCCCTTACTAAACAGTGTAAGCCGGTGTGGTGGCTCATGCCTGTAATCTCAGCACTTTGGGAGGCTGAGGCGGACCGATCACTTGAGGTCAGCAGTTCGAAACTAACCTGGCCAACCCGTCTCTATTAAAAATACAGTAATTATCTGCGCGTGGTGGCGCACGCCTGTAATCCCCAGCTACTCAGGAGGCTGAGGCGGGAGAACAGCTTGAACCCGGGAAGGGGAGGTTGCAGTGAGCTGAGATTGAGCCACTGCACTCTCCAGCCTGGGCGACAGAGCAAGACTCAGTCTCAAAAACAAAAACAAACAACAACAACAACAACAAAAAGAAAAAAAAAGAAAACGTGTACAGCCCTCCATTTGTTGATGAAAGCCCAAAAGTGAAAACAGACTAGGTCTGCAAAATATTCTCAAAGTCTCAGATTTTTATAAACACACACCTACAGGGTAAACATCACCAGTAATTACATTCACCAGGCCACAACTACTGAAATGGGTGCAACCTCACTACCCAATTCCCAGTAACGCTACAGCGAAGTCTCCTTCACACCAGTAGCGAAAGCAAGCATTACAACGCTCCGTGTCTTAGTCACAACTCTTTCTGACGCGGCTCCCTGGGGCTCTGCTGGGAATCCCTGCACACTCAGGTCACCTGAAGTGAGAAGAACAAATCAAAACGGATCGGGGGGTGGGAGGGGAGTCCACGAAGTTCTCCAAGTGAGAACTGGAGAGTGCGTCTCAGTTTCGTAAATGACACAGGGACTGGGTCCCAGCGGAGGTCTTGGGCGGTGCCACCGGGCACCTGCCTCCCTGCAGCCAGTTTCGCCTTCAACGCTCCACTTGGCCTCAGCTGACTTGGGCGTGGACGCAGAGGTCGGGATCCCAGCGCGGAGCCGCGCCTGTGCGCTCGCAAGAGTCGGAGAGAAAGTGCGGAGGGACGGAGCGCAGGAGGGCCCCGGCCGCCACCCTCCCGGGTGTCCCCGCCGCCAGGCACCTGAGCCCCGGGAAGGGGGCGGGGGGCCCGGCGCGGCCCCGCTCACCTTCTGGATGGAGGACTTGCCGCTACGCCGGAGCCCCATGAGCAGAATCCTCGGCTTGGAGCTGTCAGCGCCCCCCGGGCCACAGCCTCCGCCTGCCCCTGCCCCAACCCCGCCGCCCGCCGCCGCCGCCTCCTCTTCCTCCTCCTCCACGCCGTAGCCGAAGTCCTTTGGAAACGAATCGGCCGCGCCGTAACTGCCGGCGAGGGGCGTCTCCTCCGCCCCGTACTGCAGGGACATGGTGCTGGAGCCGCCGCCGCCCGCGCCCTGACAGGCCAGGCCAGGCCAAGCCAAGCCAGGCCGCCGCCTCCCCAGTCTGCCGCCGCCGCCGCCGCCGCCCCCGGCAGCCGCCACCGTCCGGCCCGCCCCCCAGAGCCCGGCTCTCATAGGCCCCGAGCCGAAGCGCAGACGCTCATTGGCCGCCCGAGCTGCCACTCGAGAGCAGCAGGGTAGGTGGTGCCCCGTCACGTGCCGTAATCACCTGACTCGCAGCCGCGGAGGGGGGAGGAGGAGTCACGAGGAGGGCGTCCTGGCCGCGCCTCCCGCCCGGACTCCGGCCCTCTGCCCTCCGCCCCGGCCCAGTAGCACCGCTGGCCGCACCGCTCCCCTGCCTTCTTCCGGGCTCCCAGAGCACAGCTATGGAGATGCCCTTCCGGAACTTGGGGGAAGAATTGATTGTCCTCATCCTACAACTGTACTTGCCCAACCAATATTTATTGACGCCTGCAGTGTCCTGGGTGCCTACCAAGGGGAACAGAACTGGATCAGACTCGGATCCTGCCTGCCCTCAGGTTGCTTGAAGATGAACAGAGAGATCGGACCTCTGTGTAAGTAACTTCGGTATGAAATATTACGTGGGAAGGTCACGGATAAATAATGCTCGGGAGTTGGATGACAACGCATCTGAGCAGATCTAGGTGGATGGATACGGTTGGGATGTGCAAAGGTATGGGGGAGCCAGCCAGACTAAGGGCAGACCTCAGCCAAGGCAGAGTCGTGGGTCACTGTGATAGTTTGTTCTAGCAGGTAGCTGGACCCTGATAGGAAAGCAGATGCAGCCAAGCTAGAACATCTTACCTCCTTCGCAGATAATGGAAACTGCTGCCACTTCAAACCGAACGGGACTCAATTTGCCCTCCTTCCCGCCTAGTCAAAGTCTACTTCTCCAGGAATTCCATCCCCCATAGATCACTGCCTCTTATATGACCTCGTTCAGATTAGAGACGAAAGTATTGAATAATGAAAGCAAACAAAAGCAAATCCTTGTCACCAAGTATGCCTGAGAAATCTAGAGGAGTTTTGTTTTATCTTTGACAATCAGATCCTCTTAAAAGCACAGCCCTATACAATTTTTAAGTACAGGAGTGGAGGTGGGGGGTGCTCCCAGCCCTCCAAGGAGACTGACTTCTTGATTATGAAGGAAAAATTCGCAGATGAGGGCAGGTCTGGGACTTTAGTTTTGTCTGAATCCAGAAGTTAGAGGTAGGATGCACCCTTAGAGGTCATTTAGCTCAACCTGCCACCTAAAACAAAGCAACTCTGTAGTGTCTAATAGACATGCAGAATGCACTTAGTAGTTCGAAGGGAAGAGAGCTCACCACCTCGAAAGGCAGCCAACTCTACTGTGGTAAACCTTTGTTTAAACATTTATCATTCAAGCCAAACTACACTCCCTGAAGCTTACAATAGAAGAAAATAGTCCTCATCTTTTTCACGACTGCACTTCAAATACCAGATTGCAGTATTCATTACCCACCAAGTCTTCCCCATTCCTTGCTAAACATCCTCAGTTCTTCCAACCATTCTATGGTGCTGTTCAATACAACCGATACACTTGATAGACATGTTCTTCACCTGCACTGTCAAACACGTAGCCACTAGTCATATGATGACTGAGCACTAGAAATGTTGATAGTGTAACTGAGGAACTTAAATTTTTAACTGCCACTTGTAGCTAGTTCCTTATTGGAGAGCCCTGCCTTATACATTCAGATCCTCTATTGGTCACTCCTTATATGCATTCAAGCTTGTCAATATCCACCAAAGATCTGACTCCTACAAAGCAATACTAAACAACTTTCAGAATATTTAGCACCTAGACAGTATTTCTATTCGTGCTTTTCAGAATGGAAATTTTTTTTTAAGTATCCATAGGGTGGTTCACGTTGATAATCACTGGAATTAACAGTTTGTCAGCTATCCCAGTGCCTAAGTGTATAAGTGCATTTTTTAACCTAAATGTAAGACTTGGTATTTCAACTTTTTGATTTAGGTCCAGCAGTTTGGGTACTCCAGGTGGTTAATCATTTTAAGGCTTGTTTCTATATAGTCTTCCAACCAGACTTTCCAATTTGTGTCACTTACAGATTTGGCACTACTACCATCTGGTCTGTATATAATTCTTTACGGTTTGCAAGGCACTTTTACATCCATTGTATTTAATTTGATTCTTACAACAACCTTGTGAGATAGGCAAGATATGAAGTTGATATTTTGTAGCAGGAGCTTAACTGATGGGATCCATTTTCTCTTCAATGGAGCATCTTGTATATTATATTGTCTTCATCCAAATCCTTGACAGAAATGTTGATGAGGACCTCTAGAGGCTAGGCTGATCCTGAATTCTTAAATAGCACTGACTGGTACAGCAGTTTAAGCAAGTCAGTTTCACTTAAAAGTGCGATTATCCAACCTACATGTTGCCATTCTGTTCAAAAAAGACAGTACAAAAGACAGTCACAGTCACCTACCTTACTGACACAAATATTAATACTAATCCAATGAGTAAAAAGCACATGAGGATTGGCTGCCACAAAAAAATTTTGGCCTGTGTATACCAAGAAACTGTCATACCAACTAAAGAAGCCAAGTCTCTCTTCCAAAACCCTCATGGGGCTATGTTTTATTATAATGGTTTGTCACAGGTCCTAACCCACACTCTATTTGATTATATAAATGTCTCAATTAAGTCATTCCTCTTTATCACACCCAGCACTTAATCCACTGCTGCCCATGTAGGAGGCACTCAAATTGGTAAAAAAGAAAATCTATTCAAGCAAATGTTCTTCTGGCTCCCCTCCAAAAACAAACTTGTGACTAGAAGAGGCACCAGCCATTGCCACATTCCTGCTAACATGACTGATTTAAATGCCCTTATAATTGGCTTAGTCATAGTTAGTTAAACCAGTTTTCAATGGATCATTTTGTTTTCTATGTATGTTTTGACCAAAAACAAAGATAGGTTCTCTAACAATAGGGAGGTCTATCAGTAAGGAAAATAAGTGATCAATAAAACAAAACATCTGACTGTAGGTCTACCCAAAGAAAGGAAAAAGGACTAACAAACAAGAATATAGTGCTTTACCATTTACAAATCTTTCACATACATTCTCATTTGACCCTCACAACAACCCTGTGAGGTAGGCATCACGGATATTCTTCTCATTAAACAGATGAAGACGGTAAATCTCAGAGCAGTTCACTGATATGCCCAAGGCTCTACAGTTAGTGAGTGATTTGTATTAATATCAGTCTTTGGCCTAAAAATTCAGCACCCAACTTCCCCTCATACTTGCCCCACCTACATCACAATAATAAAATGAATAATAAAATGAATCCAGGGCTAGAAAAATACTTTGAGGGGGAAAAAAGCACTGTATAATTATACCTACAAACTATGATTTTCCACAATATATGGCTCATTCCTCTTCTCATCCCAGCTCGTGTGAACCCAGAGTTGTATATTGCCTCTGTTCTGTGCTCAGTAAGCAGATATGGCAGGCAGGGGGTACAGTATGATCCTGTTTAAAGTTACATAAATTACAATGAGGGTAACTGCTATTATTAGGCAAATTGAAAAACAGCAGAAAGGCCAGTGTGCAACTAGGACCCACTAAAGCTCAGAGCAAACCAATCCAAGATTATCAGACAAGCCGTGATTGCATAGAAGGAAAATGTGGTGTCAGAGTTCAAACTGGCACACACACACAGTTTTCTAAGGCAAAGTGGTGGCAAAGAAGAGTTGTGTGTTCCATGTTACACAAACAAGAGCAGAAGACTCATGAGAACCCGTACAAAAGCATCTTGTGTCACACAGATCCCGTACAAAAGCATCTTGTGTCACACAGATCTCTCCAGCTGCCTATAGGGAATATACACAACACTGTCACCTTCAAAGAATGACTGTACCTGTGTTCATATCCTGAACTACACCAAGGAATAGCTCCATGCTAAACTGCCTTGGCTAAAATACAACCAGTGCCATCATTCCTAATCAGACTAATAAACAGAATGTCTTTTAAGGTAATGAGTTAGATGGCTGTGTTTAGGTTTTTTCAGGATTTACTTTGGATTCTCCTGCTTTAAGACCCAAAGAAAGTTATATTGAGTTTTTATTGATGATTCTATGTGTTTTTAACAGAATGTGACAGGTGAATTAAACATATTAAAAGAGTTCTATAGCATCTGTTCAGAAAAGATTATATACTATACAAACTATTCAAGTCATACAAAACCATTTTTCATTGTCTTTCAACTGAGAAGAATCCTATTCAGCACGCTTCTCCTCCTGAGGTGGTTCATACTGAGCAAGCTACGGGGCAAAGACAGAGGAATTTAGGTGAATTTTATTCTAAATTGGGTAAAAAATAGCAGTAAAATAAGGTAACTATTACATTCAACTTAGTTATTAAGTCAGTAAATTGTATTAATATCAGTTTCTATGACTATCCATTTTAAATCATTCAGTGATTCAAGATTTAATGCAATCAAATCTAATGAAAGCCCTTTTCATATCAACCTTTAAAATTACTTTGAAACTAAAATTTCATTCCAGTTCATGACTGTACTGTTCAAATACTTGATATGCAATAAACTGTATCTTCCCAAGATTCATTTGCTGATAAGCTTTCTTCCTCTCCACCAAAAGTTTACTGAAGATACCCACTGAAAAGTAGATCGTTACGTGATGTCTTAATCTAGACAGCCAATAAACAACAATTAATGACTGAGTTAAAAGGTTCAAAAGAGTTAACTAGCATTTACCCATTGTGGAATCTTGGATAATTCAAAATAACTGCATTTTCTTTTACGCTAAGTGTGGTTCCTTGCAAGAACACTAGGCTAACATTAGGGTTCTGCCAACAACCTGTTGGATTTGAGGAGCTTATCAGACTTCACTGTGCTTTCCCTTCCTCACCTACATGGCAGTCCGTGTACTTGTTGCACTTATCTCACAAAGTCGCTGAGAAGATAAAATACATTAGGAGAAATACTTAGAGTAATGTAAAACATTGTGTGATTAAGAATGTGGTAAAACCTCCAAGACTCAGAGTTGACTAATTTGAAGTTTCTGAAAATTCTCACAGGAGTTTGAAAAAAGAAAAAAACTGGCTGGATGCAGTGGCTCATGCCTATAATCCCAACACTTTGGGAGGCCAACCCAGGAGGAATGCTTGAGCCCAGGAGTTTGAGACCAGCCTGGGCAACATAGTGGGACCCCATTTCTACAAAAAATGTAAAAATTAGCCGAGCATGGTGGCAAATGCCTGCAGTCCCAGCTACTCAGGAGGCAGAGGTGGGGGGACTGCTTGAGCCTGGTCAAGTCAAGGCTGCAGTGAGACGTGACTGCACCACTGCACACCAGCCTGGGTAACAGAATGATACCCTGTCTCAAAAAAAAAAAGAAAGAAAAAACTTTAGCAATAGATAATTAAAATTAAGTGCAAACAAATTTACAGAGGGCCACCACATATGTATGGCCTTGCAGACTATGAACTGTACAAATTCTAAGAGGTGCACTTTATAAAGCAGTGGCCCCATACTGGCCTGCTTAAAATCAACTGCTTAAGAACCTCAGAACTGTCCGTTTACTTATAAACAGTATTAACCAATATTCTTATCTTTTTGTTGATGCAGATTCCTAAGAACTTTTTTTTTTTTTCTGTGACAGTGTTTTGCTCCTGTTGCCCAGGCTGGAGTGCAGTGGCACGGTCTTGATTCACTGCAACCTCCACCTCCTGGGTTCAAGCAATTCTCCTGCCTCAGCCTCCCAAGTAGCTGGGATTACAAGTGCCTGCCACCACTCCCAGCTAATTTTCATATTTTTAGTAGAGATGGTGTTTCACCATTTTGGCCAGGCTGGTCTCGAACCCCTGACCTCAGATGATCTGCCCACCTCGGCCTTCCAAAGTGCTGGGATTATAGGCATGAGCCACCATGCCTGGCCAGAACCTCTTCTTGATCACACTTTGCTTGTCCTACTTACAGGTTGTATTGTGGTTTTCTAGACAGGGCTTAAGTTTGGCCTTACATTATAATTAATTCGAATTGATATTCACCCACCTCCCTACCCACCTCTCCATTTTAGTGAGGTTTTCATTGTGTAATTATTAGAGGTAAAATTATTTTAATATGAATTCTTTCTAAAAATTTACCTTTGCTTTCAGTTTTTTATTTTCTTCTACAATAGCTTCGTATTTCTCTTTCATTTCAGCCAGTTCTAGGCGAAGCAGCTCTATTTCTGGATTTTCTGGGGTAGCAGCTCCTAAGTGATGCTTTAAAAAACTATTATCAATGTTAAGAACTTACTTCTTAGGCTTGAATGAAACTAATAAAATAGCATAGAGTAGTATCAATATCCCTGACCAGAGTCACCCACTTTACCACCAGTATCTACCCAGAGATCACCATCCAAAAACTCAAGTGAAAATAACTTTCTCAATATTCAGAAGTATTTTAAAGGTTTTTTTTCTTTCACCGCCACCCCGAGTCAGAGTCTTGCTCTGTCGCCCAGAGCCAGAATACAATGGCGCAATCTCAGCTCACCTGCAACCTCTGCCTCCTGGGTTGAACAATTTTCCTGCCTCAGCCTCCCAAGTAGCTGGAATTATGGGCGCATGCCACCATGCATGGCTAATTTTTTTATTTCTTTTTTTGTTTTTCGCCTCCTCAACCCAGCTTTTCCCGACTCCAGGAAGAACCGGAAAGAGAAGGCCAATTTTTGTATTTCTAGTACAGAAGGGGTTTTACCACGTTGGCCAGGCTGGTCTCAAACTCCTGACCTCCTGATCCACCCTCCTCGGCCTCTTCAAGTGCTGGGATTACAAGTGTAAGCCACTGCACCCAGCCTAAAGGTTATTATCTATCTAAAAAAATTAAGAGTTTCAAAATAAAGCCTTTTTCTGACTTGAAAGATGAAAGGATACTCCAAAGCACTGTTAGGTTTCTCTGGTTCTTCATATAAGGCTACCAACACTGCAAATTAAAAAGCAGAAAAAGCAACAAATGAAGTCTTAAATTGGAATGGCTGAAATTATATTCCATTACCCAGTAAATATTAGGTGCCAACTATATGCTGAGCACATTGCAAAGACTATACAATGCTGAAGAAGACAGACAAGGTCCCTGTTCTCAACAAATTTACGGTCAAGTGTAAAAGATACGCAAGGAACTAGACAGAGGGTATCAAGCAGGAATACTGGATAGTGGGTTATGGTGGCACACTGGAAGAACACCTAACTAAGCCTAGGACATCAGGGAATGCTTCCTAAAGGAGGGCAAAGACCTGATACCTAGGAGTTGAGTGTTTCCGATAAAATGGGAAGGTCCAGGAGCAGGAAACAATGTATTGAGGAACTGAAAATTCAAGTATGGCTGGATTTGTGAGTAATGTGGCAGAAAAGGAAACTGGTAAGGTGGTCATGGCCACACTATGGAGGGTAATGCAAATTTGGTTGGCATATAATTAAACAGTTTCAAGAAGGGAGTGACAGGACCCATTCTTAGACCAGCTGGAGTGGGACAAAGATAAAGGCAGGAAGAACAGTTAAAAGGCTGATGTGGTAATCCAGTTTAAAAAGACAGCAACCTGCAGTAAAGTGATGGGAGTGATAGAACAGTGAGAAGAAAGAAATTCAAGAATTCAGGAAAGAATCAACGGGACTATGGTAATTACAGAAGAAGCTCTGAATTCAAAAACGGTCTTCAAGAATGAAGTTTGTTTTGCTAAATAACCATCAACCAAAAACTTTACCAGTAGTCAACATGCTCAAATCGACATTAAAATAAGATATACTTGAGTGGTTTCATATCCAGTCGCTCATATGAGCACTGCTTTGCTCTTCATCTATGGAACAAATTCCTCCTAGAATTTACTAGATAAAAATCTCTAAATCAGTGTTTAGACTTTTTGTGCATGGAACCCTTTGAAAAATCTAATAAAAGAGAAGTAACCACACACAAAAAATTGATAGATATCTAGCCCCAAGTCCTGTTATAAACCAACTTACATACTTCCCTTTTGTTCTTTCAGAGCTTAAAAAAATTAACAAAATAATATACAGTATGAAAAAAAATCAAATAACTATTTTTAACAATTTACGCTGAGTTCCGATGGTTACCTTTCATCTAAATACACTTAAGAGCACTGTTTTTTGAGAAAGGGAGCACTACACACTGGGGTCTGTTGGGGGGAAATAGGGGAGGGATGGCGGGGGGTGGGGAGTTGGGGAGAAAGAGCATGGGGAGAAACGCCAGATATAGGTGATGGGGAGGAAGGCAGCAAATCACACTGCCACATGTGTACCTATGCAACAATCTTGTATGTTATTCACATATACCCCAAAACCTAAAATGCAATTAGAAGAGAGAGAGAAATTCATGTATTTATACCACCGCTACCCTCTCCTCTCATCTCTCAATATTTCACAGAACTCTTTATTCTTTATTATCTTTTAATTTAAATTATATGCTCAAACTTCTGCTGCTCCATTAATTTCCACTTATCCCTATTAAATCCTTATTATTTTTTTTTTTAAAGACAGAGATTCGCTCTTGTGCCCAGCATGGAGTTTATGGCGCAATCTCGGCTCACTGTAACCTCTCCCTCCTGGGTTCAAGCGATACTCCTGCCTCAGCCTCCTGAGTAGCTGGAATTACAGGCATGCACCACCACGCTCAGCTAATTTTGTATTTTTAGTAGAGATACGGTTTCTCCATGTTGGTCAGGCTGGTCTCGAACTCAGACCTCAGGTGATCCACGTGCCTCGGCCTCCCAAAGTGCTGGGATTACAGGCGAGAGCCACTGCGCCCAGCCAAATCCTAATTTTATGAGACATGAATACTAATACTCCTCCTCTTATCCCCCCACCCCATTTCCTTCGGCTTCTAATTTCTGTCACTGGTACTTACAACGTTGATAATTGCAGAACATAATGTAAATGCTAAGTTTCCTGTGCTTTTCTATAGATGAAATGCACTCCCCTTTAATCAGATCCTCCCATCTCAGGCCCCCAAGTAGGTAAGAACTCTATACCCAATCATGCTCCCCTTTTGCCTTCACACCCAAGATTTTTAGAGGTTGATAGAGTGCTCAAAACAGCTAAAACGCTTCCGCTTCCACATGATTGATCATCTTTATCTTTAGCCATCCTTTCACAGTGTTTTATGTTACAAAGTTTTAACTCCTCTTAGAAATAAGCTGTAAAAAATATAGGCTAGACACGGTGGCTCATGCCTGAAATCCCAACACTTTGAGAGGCCAAGGCAGGATTGCTTCAGTCAGGAGTTTGAGATTAACCTGAATAACACCAAAACTCTACCCAAAAAAAAAGAAAATTAAAAATTAGTCAGGCATGGTGGTTCATACCTACAGTCCCAGCTACTTGGGGGCCTGAGATGGGAGGACTGCTTGAACCTGGAAGCTTGAGACTGCAATAAGCTGTGACTGTGCGACAACACTCCAATATGGGGGACAGAGACCTTGTCTCGATAAATATATATATATGTAAATTAAATTTGTGAGGCTGGGCACAGTGGGTCATGCCTGTAATATCAACACTTGGAGGGGCCAAGGCAGGAGGATCACTTGAGGCCAGGCATTCCTGGGTGACAGACTGAGACTCTCTCTCTTAAAAAAAAGTAAAAACAAATAGAACTGTGTAAAACACCTATGTTTGAAGCTGAAGGTCAAATTTTTAATAAATCACATCAAAACTATGTTGTCTGATGTTATTTAGAAGCCTGGAAATCTAAGGAGATTGAGAGGTTAAATTCCAGTGGAGTCCGGGTGAGGTGGCCCACACCTGTAATCCCAGCACTTTGGGAGGCTGAGGCAGGCGGATCACCTAAGGTCAGGAGTTCAAGATCAGCATAGCCCACATGGTGAAACCCCGTTTCTACTAAAAATACCAAAAAGTAGCTGGGCATGGTAACACATGCCTGTAATCCCAGCTACCTGGGAGGCTGAGGCAGGAGAATTGCTTGAACCCAGAGGCTACAGGTGAGCTGAGATCATGCCACTGCACTCCAGCCTGGGCAGCATCTTCTATGTAATCAGTTACCACCTACAACTGTCATTTTTCTGCCTTTTACCATTCAGTCTTTCACTTGCTCCATCCAACCACTCTGGCCTCCTTATACTTCCTGAAACTCCTGACATATATTGTTTCTTTCAAGTTTTTGCTCAAGTTACAAAAGAAAGGCCTCCTCACCACCACACTATAAAAATAACACACACATCACCACCTGTCACTTTTTTTTTTTTGAGACAAGGTCTTACTCTGTTGCCCAGTGGCACAATCACAACCCACTGCAGCCTTGACCTCCTGGGCTCAGGTGATTCTCTCACCTCAGCCTCCAGAGTAGCTAGACTGCAGACAAGCACCATGCCAAGCAATTTTTTTTTTTTTTTTTTAAAGAGACGGGGTTTTGCCATGTTGCCCAGGCTGGTCTTAAACTCCTGAGCTCAAGAGATACACCCACCTCAGCCTCCCAAAGTGCTGAGATTACAGGCATGAGCAGTGCCTGGCCTCACCTGTTCCTCTTTATCCCCCTAACTCTTCTATATTTTTATCTGTAACACTTACCACTGGCTGACACTACAATTTATGTATTTGTCTCCCTCAACTGGGACATAAGCTTATGAGACCAGAGACTTTTATCGTCCCCTGCTGTATCTCCAGTGGGCAAAACAAAGGCCTGAGTAAAATGATTAAATAAAAGAAACGAACTTTGGAGTTTTTAGAGGGAATGACATTTAAAGCATCTGTGACACTTCCAGAGACAACACTGCACAGTGCTTTCACAGAGCAGTCCCTTAATATTTGTTGAAGTTTATTTGCAAACAGGTAACCTATTATCCGAATGTGGAATAGGTAGCAATTCAAAATTACTAGCCCATGGGAATTAAAAGACCGCCTTCTGCTAAGACCCAGGAGTTATGCTCCTAGAATTTTCCCCTAAACTTTGCTTCTGTCCAAAGAGCAGTTACCAATTTATTTCCCACACTTCCCAAACTTCCTAGGTCCTCATCCCTGCCAACAATTCCATACTACACCCTTGAAAATCCCAGAGTTGAGTGACACGTAGCAGACATTCAAATTACTGCTAGGCTAATGAAGTAAACGGTACCCTACTCCTTGGAATCCTGTTTCCAACACTTTACTCATCTACTTACTTAGATCTTGAAGCAACGATGGAAGATTCGGTAGTATTAACAGTAAGCTTTCATTTTTAAAAAGTGAAAACAATGTAACCATTTTGATGCGCCCTCGAGCTCTTTAAACTGTAATTCTCCTTTTGAAATATACACAAAATAAGAATGGACACAGACTAAGGAATGGGGGTTGAAAAGCCACAGCCAAATTAGCTATGAATCGCCTACTTTGGGGATTAGGTTCATTCAGCTACTTCATGGCCCACTTTCAAATTCGGTCATTTTTCCAGTTGCTCTTTGTTGGAGGGAAAATGTTTCTTAACAAGATTATGAGGACTCCACAAAAACCGTAAGGTGGGAGGAATTGGGATCTGAAGGTCTTTGGCAAGCACGTCCATGCGGCTGCTCGAGGCAAAGCAACGGAAGTTGGAGAGTTTGCAACAGCTGCAAGAGTTTCATTCCCGGTGCGGAGAAGGGTAGCGTGGCTAGGCTACCCACCCCCCGGGCGGCGTCCAGCAGCCAGGGCCCTGCCGAACCCCGAAGCCCACCTCGCTGGACCCTGGACGGCTCCCACCTGTTTCCCCTCCTTCCCCACGCTACGGCCCGCTGGGGAACGAGGCAGCGCCAGGGAGCCAGATGAGGGCACAAGGTACCATCTCCTAGCCCAGGCTCACCCTTGGTCAGCGTGTCCAGCACCCCAGACTTCTCCAAGTACCTCCGGAACTGCTCACGCTTCGAGTCGGCGGCCTGAGGAGACACCGGGGGTCAGTGGCCAGAGCCTGGGGGCCGAGCAGGAAGAAGGCGCTGGGAGTCCGGCAACCCCGCTACCTCCGGCCCACCCCGCACCCAAACCTGCGCGCGCGACCCCACTCCCACCCAGAGCCGACCAGCGGCTTGCTACCGCCCGCATTCCCCCAGCCACGCCGCGCCCCCCTCACTTTGTAATGGGCCATAGTGACAGCGGCAGCGGCGTAGCTGGCGCCGGAGACCGCGACTGGCGGGCTGGGAGCAGCACTGCTCATGCGCGGAAGGGGGCGCGCGCCTGCGCACTTGCGAACCACGGGCCGGGATCGCCGGGGTGTGGCCTGTTTTCATGGCTACCAGGACGCTCTGCATCCTCCGTAGCGGGCTGAGCCAAGGGAGGCTGCGTAAGCCCGCCCCTCTGGCTGTTGGAGCCGCAACTCTTCCTCTTCCGGTCGCCGCAGCTTTCCGTTTTCTTTGCGAAAGGCGAGGTTTTTGTATCTCTGTCCAGGTGATCGGCCTGGCGTCCGGAGGCGGTGCCCGGGAGCATTGGGACTGTTGCGGGAGGAAGGATATCCGCACGGTGGTAGCGAACGCATCTTTCTTATCTGGGACCTCGGAAGTCGTAGCGACCCATAGGTTCTGGGCTTCTTGGCTCTCGTCCTGAGAAAGTGCTCACAACTTTGCAATAGCTGAGGAAGGTGTTTAGAATCGTATATTTTGGCCCCAGCTTTTATCTTTAGAGTCACCTTGAGCTGTGGCTGACTTGATGCGGGCCTCTGAACAGTAACGAGCTGGCAGTAGTTAGTGAGCGTTTATTGTGTGCCAGGCACTGTAGAAAACACAGGTATTTTAAATGTTAATCCTCACAACACCCCTGTAGTGTGGGTACTGTTAATAAAGCGGAGAGGTTAGATGTCCAGTGAGTAGAGAGAGCCGAGTCCAATCCGGCAGTGAATCACGATGCTATCAACTGGTGAAAGCAAGCCACGGATCTTTTAAAGATTTTATTTACTAGGTAGCAACATATGATTATACTCAAGATACATCAGGATCCGATCTAGAAGGAAACTACATGATTGTGTTCTGAGGGCAAACAAAATTAACCCAGTGTTCAAAGATAAAGGATTCATAACTAAAAGGTGGAATTATATAGCTCAAGAGCCATTTCCTAAGGCTGTGGTCTCTTCAAAGAGAAAACCTGATCAAACCATTTAGCCTCAATTCTGAACATATGATTTTCCCAAAATCAGTTACACACATTCGAAAGGACATCATTAAAAAATCCGGATCTGGCAGCTTTATGTCTTTGAATTTAGAACTGTTTCGTCACGATCTAAAACCAGCTGTTTCTCCCTTGCTGAAATGAGTTTGCAGTTGTCTCTCTTAACAGCTGGTTTTTAGAGCGGCCCTTATCTATTTTGTCTGCCACCACTAGGCTAATTCTCTGATAATATATAAAATGTCTAAAAGCCAACTGCTGTTCAGATCTGAAGATCTGTGGGAACCCGCCTACTAATGAGATTGTTCCTTAGGGACACTACGTGATTTGGAGGACAAACAGTAGGATTATTACAGGTTCTGACCAACCCTGGCTCAAAGGACAGCTCTCCCAAAGCATCAGCAATATTTGGAATGTCAGTTGATTGAGACTCTCCTTGTGAAGGAGAAAGGGTTCTGACTGTGCCCTCTCTGAACTGGCCTTTGAGGTTACCTTTAGGAGGTGACCCCCGGTTTTCATCTTCTGTAGAAAAAGCCCATGTAGCCCTAAGCCACCGGGGTTTCCGGTCGCAGTTAGCTGGCAAGGAAAAAGCTGTTTGGGGTGACTGCCTCCTGTAGTTCTCTCCATCTATAGCAACACCTGGAATAGAACAGTGACCTCTAGAGTGGTGGCTCCTTTTGCTGTCTTTGCCTTCGGTTTCTCTTTTTTCCCTTAGCTGGTTACCATTAACAACTTTTCCAAATCTTTTATCAGTGTCTTTGTTATTATTTGAGCTGATGTGTTGAAAATGACTACAGCTAGTACTAAGTGTGCAAATCTCATTAGAAAGTATAGTTTCCTGTTCATCCAAAATGCATTTCTCATGATTTACACTGTGATTGTCAGGATTTGGCTGAAACACAGAAGATGAATTAAAACGAGGGTACACTGCAGCGTGTGTTTGCTTTTCCACTAACAGATCATGATCAGGGGCAGAAGGGAGTCGCTTCAGTGAATTTGCAGACGTGCTCTGATATTTGGCTACATTTTCTTTTGCCTTGTTTGCATAGAATTCATTATGTTCCTTCTTCAACTTGTATTTTCCCGAAAGCCCTCTTTTAATCTTTTTAAAACCTAGGTGGAAAATTTCTAGAACGTTTAAGAAAAGTGAAATAGTGGCTATAGATTGCATAAATAATAGGAATATTGTCTTTTCTGTTGGTCTTGAGACAAAACAATCGATTATATTTGGACACGGGTGGCCATGGCACTTAAATAGAGGCTCTAAGTGAAATCCATATAAAAGGTACTGTCCAATCATGAACCCAACCTCAACCACAGAGCGAGTGAAAATGTGTATCACGTAAGTGCAAAGCAAGGTTCCTCTGAGCGGAGCTTTATTTAGTTTCCTTTTCTCCAGCTGACAAAGCTCTTGCTCCAATCTTCTCCGATCCCTAGGCATTTCAAACTCCACCTCCTCCAGTTCTACTCTTAACTGAGCTTTCATCCTTTGCCTCTCCTTCTCTAGAACTCTCAGTCGGTACAATGCATGGCCCATGTATACCAGAGATGGTGAAGACACAAGTATCACCTGCAGAACCCAGTATCTAATGAGGGAGATAGGAAAGGCCTGGTCATAGCAGACATTTCTGCAGCCTGGTTGTTCTGTATTGCAGATGAAGCCAGACTGCTCATCATTCCAGACATCTTCAGCTGCTACACCCAGAACAAGCATTCGAAAGATGAACAGGACGGTGAGCCAGATCTTTCCAATCATAGTGGAGTGGATGTGAACTTCTTCCAGAGTATCTCCAAGGAGATTCCAGTCCCCCATGTTTATTTAGTTAGCCATTGTAGCTCTGATCCCTATCAAATGAGAGGCAGATAAATTCTTCCGTTCTGAAGGGAGCACTATTTCTTAAAGCAAACCTATGGTGAAAATATAACAGTGCATCACTTTTTCCATATGCTGGTTGCTTTGCTTCTTCCCTAGATAGCAGTAGAGTTTTTTGTTTGTTTGTTGAGATAGTCTCCCTGTGTTGCCCAGGCTGGAGTACAGTGTTGCAACCACAGCTCACTGCGGCCTCAACCTCCCAGGCTGAATCGATCCTCCCACCTCAGCCTCACGAATAGCTGGGACTATAGCTGTGTGCCACTACACCCAGATAATTTTTGTATTTTTTGTAGAGACAAGCTCTTACTATATTGCTGTGGCTAATCTTAAACTCCTAGACTCAAGTGATCCTCCTGCCTTGACCTCATGATCCTCCCGCCTCAGCCTCCCAAAGTGTGGGGATTACAGGTATGGGCCACCACACCTGGCCAAAGTGTTAATCTATTACCAATAATATATTTAGATGTCAGGAATTTAAAATTACATATATTTAGACATCACAATACAATGAAAAAAAAAATGATACCTGGAGAAGGAGTGTATATATTCTCTATTAAGAATATAGGCCGGGGCTGGGCACGGTGGCTCACGCCTGAAATCCCAGCACTTTGGGAGGCCGAGGTGGGTGGATCATGAGGTCAAGAGATCAAGACCATCCTGGCCAACATGGTGAAACTTCGTCTCTACTAAAAGTACAAAAATTAGCTGGGCGTGGTGCTGTTCACTTGTACTCCCAGCTACTCAGGAGGCTGAGGCACGAGAATCGCTCGAACCCAGCAGGCGGAGGTTGCAGTGAGCTGAGATTGCACCACTGCACTCCAGCCTGGCGACAGAGCAAGACTGTCCCCCAAAAAAAGAATATAATTTTAAGCTGTGCACATTGGCTCACGCTTGTAATCCCAACACTTTGGGAGGCGGAGGTGGGCAGATCATTTGAGATCAGGAGTTCAAGACCAGCCTGACCAATGTGGTGAAACCACACCTCTACTAAAAATACAAAAATTAGCTAGGAGTGGTGGTGGGTACCTGTAGTCCCAGCTACTCAGGAGGCTGAGGCAGGAGAATCACTTGAACCTGGGAAGCAGAGATTGCAGTCAGCTGAGATCACCCCGCTGCACTCCAGACTGGGCGACAGAGCAAGATACTGTCTCAAAAAAAAATAAATAAATATATATATATATATATATATATATATATATATACACACACACACACACATACATATATACACACATGTATATATAATATAATTGTAGGCCGTGTACATTGGCTCATGCCTGTAATCCCAGCACTTTGAGCCAATGTACAGATCATCTGAGGTCAGTAGTTCGAGACCAGCCTGGCCAACGTGGTGAAACCTCGTCTCTACCAAAAATACAAAAATTAGCCAGGTGTGGTGGCAGGTGCCTTTAATCCCAGCTACTCTCGAGGCTGAGGCAGGAGAATCACGTGAACCTGGGAGGCAGAGGTTGCAGTGAGCAGAGATTGTGCCACTGCACCCCAGCCTAGGCAAAAGAACAAGACCCGATCTCAAAAAATATATATATATATGTATAAGTATATATGTGTAAACATACACATACATATATATATAATTGTAGGCTGAGCACAGTGGCTCATGCCTGTGATCCTAGCATTTTGGGAGGCTGAGGTGAGAGAATTGCTTGAGGCTAAGAGTTCAGGATCAACCTGGTCAATATTATTGAGACCCCATCTCTTTAAAAAAAAAATTAAAATTAAAAAATATGTATAATTGTAGGATTCCTTATCAGAGAGAAGTCATCTTACTTAGCTGAAGTTTATTATTATTGTGGTTGTTTTGGGGCGTTTTTTTGTTTTGTTTTGTTTTTTGAGACGGAGTCTTGCCCTATCGCTTAGGCTGCAGTGCAGTGACACAATCTTGGCTCACTGCAACCTCTGCCTCCTGGATTCAAGCAGTTCTCCTGCCTCAGCCTCCCTGGTAGCTGGGATACAGGCATGTGCCAACACACCTAGCTAATTTTTGTATTTTTAGTAGAGATGAGGTTTCACCATGTTGGCCAGGCTGGTCTCTAACTCCTTACCTCAGGTGATCCACCTGCCTCAGCCTCCCAAAGTGCTGGGATTACGGGCACAAGCCACGCCTGGCCTATTGTTTTTTAACTGAGAACTTTTGGAATGGTTTCTAAAACTGCTGACTTGATCTTAACCTTATTTATTAAGATTATTTGATATAAAAGTTATAAGCAAAGTCAATGACTTTTTTTTCAGATAGAGTCTCACTCTGTCACCCAGGCTGGAATGCAGTGGCGCAATCTTGGCTCACTGCAACTTCTGCCTCCCAGGTTCAAGCAATTCTCCTGCCTCAGCGTCCCCAGTAGCTGGGATTACAGGCATGGCCACCACGCCTGACTAATTTTTGTATTTTTAGTAGAGACAGGGTTTCACCACGTTGGCCAGGTTGGTCTCGATCTCCTGACCTCATGATCCGCCTGCCTCCCAAAGTGCAGGGATTACAGATGTGAGCCACGGTGCCCGGCCAAAAAGTGAGTGATTTTTAAATCTCATTTATACACACAGGGAAATGAATATGCTTCACTTGATAATTCAGTAAGATACAGCATTTAATGAAACCAGAGGAAATCGATCTGGCTCTCATAGGAATTTAGATTAGTTTTTTCATCCAAATTGAGAGGAATTTTGTTTCTTCCTGGCAGTTGATGAGCAGTTTCAGAACTTCATCTCAGTAATATCTATGAATATGTATAAAGTTCTTATTGTGCTTTTGCTATGACAAATTTTTATAATTATTTTTAAGACAGTCTCACTCTGTTGCCCAGACTGGAGTGCAGTGGCAGAATCTTGACTGGCTGCAACCTCTGCCTCCCAGGTTCAAGCTATTCTCTTGCCTCAGCCTCCTGAGTAGCTGGTACTACAGGCACATGCCACCATGCTCAGCTTATTTTTGTATTGTTAGTAGAGACAGGTTTCACCGTGTTGGCCAGGCTGGTCTTGAACTCCTGACCTCAGGGGATCCACCCGCCTCAGCCTCCCAAAGTGCTGGGATTACAGGCATGAGCCACTACGCCCAACCTGGAGTTCATTTTAACATGACAACAATTTACAAAATTTGGGCTGCAAGTGGTGGCTCACACCTGTAATCCCAGCACTTTGGGAGGCTGAGGCGGGTGGATCACCTGAGGTCAGGAGTTCAAGACAAGTCTGGTCAACATGGTGAAATCCCTCTACTAAAAATACAAAAATTATCCAGGTGTGGTGGTGGACACCTGTAGTCCCAGCTACTCAGGAGGCCAAGACAGGAGAATAGCCTGAACACGGGAGGTGGAGGTTGCAGTGAGCCAAGATTTCACCTTTGCACTCCAGCCTGGGTAACAGAGCAAGACTATCTTGAATAATATAATAATAGCATACTCTGACCCAGCAACCCAAAGCACTTTAAAATGTAAGCAAGTATCATTTATGGTTCATAAGTAATAATAATAATACATGTAAGCAAAGATGTAATTCATGTTGTTGTCATAAGCTAAAAACATAAATATCAATACAAGAAAAACTGGTTAAATAATGGAATACATCCACAATGTGCAACCAGTAGAAATGATAAGCATACACAAAAAGACATTTGATACTTCATTTCAGTGAAATTGATGTTATAAAATAGAATAATATGGCCCCATGATTATAAATTTAGTTATATTTACAGATGTATACAAAAAAGTCTAGAAGGATATTCATGAAAATATTAACTGTTATTAGTTCTGGATGTTGGGATTACAAATTCCTTAATGTGTTGTAATTGTATGTATTTTAATTTTTTACTATGAACATTTTACTTTTATAATTAGAAAAAGAAATAAAAGATTTTTTTCGTAAAGGACAACACCATAGCATTTCCTGACTGGAGTAGTATTATTTAGCTACAAATTAAAGCTTTCATAGCAAATGACATAAACACTAGTATACATAGATAAAGTACCATAGAATTCAAAAGCAAAAGATAAAAACATTTCAAACAACTCTTAATAAGCTAAAACAGAGAGATTAACACAAACCTGTCTTAGTTTAGGTAAATCTGAGAAGCAAACCATGTTTAGAAGTTACAGCATGGCCGTCTTCAATTTATTTTCTGAGTTTGTTCCTTTGCAGGTATAGAACAGATTCAGTTCAGTTCAGTGTAGTGAGTTAGTCATCCATCAACTAAAATCCCTTTCCCTTTCTGCTCCTCCTTGCTTCTGAAACAGCACTGTCCAATAGAACTTTCTGCAACAATGGAAATATTCTATCTGTGCTGTCCAATCAGGTAGCCAATAGCCACATGTAGCTATTGAACACTTGAAATACGGTTTGTGTATCAGAGCAATTGAAGTTTTAATTTTAAATAATTTTAATAAAAACTTAAAGAGCTACACTTTCCTAGTGGCTGCTTTATTGGACAGCACAGATGAAGAATGCTTCTAATATTCCTAATAACACATTGTAGTCTAGAAGACTAAAGTTATAAGCCCCAAATTAAGCTGAGTGAATGATTCCTCTATATTGCAGAGATGTCAAATTTAAAATGACAGGAGGTATTTGGGTACTGTTTGTACTGTGACTTTTGCCATTGGGGAAATCCAATAAACTGTCATTGTTTTTGTGTAATAAGCCATGTTTCTAGAACCAAAAAAGTCTTTCTTATTAGATAATAGCTTCTTGGTCATCTGCCTTAATAAATGGGTCATGTCCAATTTCATAGATAAATCCTGATTCTCATGTTCTGTTAACAATTACATTGTATTTTAGGTCATTAAAGCTCTCTTCAGAGCTAGTGATCTGGCGGGTATGTATTATCTGAATTACATATTATGTGTAACACATAAATTATTAATAAACTTGAAAATTTCTCAACCTTGTAGTCAGAGAATACATATTTAAGTGAAATATTACTTTTTAACTATCAAAATGCAAAAATTTCAAGATTTATAATACCTTCTTTTGGCAAAGTAGGAAGACACCGTTATTCTCATATCCTGTAGGTAAGAATATAAATGGATACAGCTATTTAAAAGGCAGTTGAAGCATATCAAAATTAGTCTAGCATTTCTGCTTGTGGATACTTGAAACATTCATTCAACATACGCACTCAGAGACACACTGCATGTGCTAGGATGTTCACATAGCACTGTTGGTAATTATACAAAATCAGCAACAATTTGAGTGTTCAACAGAGGAATGGTTAACTATAGTACATCTATATTATTCAGAGAATAAAGAGCACTATGAACTAATAGAGAAAGCTCCCTAGGTCATGTTGTAAAGCAGGATTTTACCCTGTTAAAATCTACATTTGATCAAAATATCTAATTAAAAATACTCAGACTGGGTGTGGAGGATCACATCTGTAATCCTAGCACTTTGGGAGGCCGAGACAACGTGGATCACCTGAAGTCAGGAGTTCAAGATCAGCCTGGCCAGCATGGTGAAACCTGTCTCTATTAAAAATACCAAAAATTAGCTGAGCATGGTGACACATGCCTGTAATCCCAACTACCCTGGAGGCTAAGGCAGGAGAATCGCTTGAACCTAGGAGGCAGAGGTTGCAGTGAGCCAAGATAGCACCACTGCACTCCGGCCTGCATGACAGAGTGAGATCCTGTCTCAAGAAAAAAAAATAAAAAATATATATATATATATACTTTTATATATATACATGTGTTTATATATACTTATATATATACATAATGTGTATATATATACTTATATATATACATAATGTGTGTATATATATATACACACACATATATATATATATATATATATATATATACACACACATATATAAAGCTAAAATAGATTAACACAAACTTTTCCTAGTTTCAATAAATCTGAGAAGCAAATCATGCTTAGGGGAAGTTATACCATGAACACCTCTAATTTGTTCTTTGAATTTGTCCCTTTGGGGATTCAGTAGAGCAGATTCAGTGCAGTTCAAAACAGTGGATGAATTGGCCATCAACTATTTCCCTTTTCTGCTCATCCTATATAGAAAAAGGTCTGCAAGGATACACACCATACTGTTGTGACCACTGATGATGGTCATCACTAGGGGAAAACAGGAGGTTTGATGTGAGAAGGTAAAAGGAGATTTTTTTTTTAAGGCGGGGTCTCACTCTGTCACCCAGGCTGGAGGGCAGTGGCATGATCATAGCTCACTGTAACCTTAAACTCCTGGGTTCCAGTGATCCTCCCACCTCAGCCTCTGGAGTAGCTAGAACTACAGGCAAGCACCACCACACCTGGCTATTTTTTACTTTTTACGGAGATCTTGAATGTTACCCAGGCTGTTCTCAAACTCTTAGGCTCAAGCAGTCCTTCCATCTTGGCCTCCCAAAGTGCTGAGATTATAGGCATGAGTTACTGCACCTGGCTGAGATTTTCTTTTAACTTCTTGTTTGAATCTTTCTTTAACCAAGAACACACTCATAAGGCCAGGCAGGCATGGTGGCTCACACCTGTAATCCCCACACTTTGGGAGGCCGAGGTGGGCGGATCACTTGAGGTCAGGAGTCCAAGACCATCCTGGCCAAATGGTGAAACACCGTCTCTACAAAAAATATAAAAATTAGCCAAGCTTGGTGGTGGGCACCTGTTATCCCAGCTACTCAGGAGGCTCAGACAGGAGAATTGCTTGAACCTGGCAGGTGGAGGTTGCAGTGAACCAAGATCGTGCCACTGCACTCCAGCCTGGGCAACAGAGCAAGACTTCATGTAAAAAGAATATATACATATGGCCAGGTTTGGTGGTGGCATGCATCTGTAATCCCAGCTACTGGAGAGGCTTATGTAGGAGAATCCCTTGAACTCAGGAGGCAAAGATTGCAATAAGCCAAGATCGGGCCACTGCACTCTAGCCTGGGAGACAGAGCAAGACTCCATCTCAATAAATAAATAAATAACACTCATATTTCCACGTTCATACTTAACTTTTTAAACAAATTTCTGATCAGTTTTTCTAAAAATAAGTAGTAAATTTTCTCACCATATCTAAGTGTATATGCCCCTTTCAGAATACAGTAATGTGTTTAGATGGATGTTTAATAAATATGTTGATGATAAAAGAAAAAATTATATTTCCTGTGTTCAGATGACTTAACACTACCATTTCTAAAGCATAATAAACCACAGTCTGAATTCTATAGAGGAAAAGGACACAGGCTTCTCAGCTTTCAGGTATGACATTTTAGCTTTTGCAAATAAATTCCTACACACTCTTAGAGGAACCATGAGCCACACGAAGGATGACAGTCTGATCACAGGTGAGAATCTGAAGTCTTGGTATATAGTGTGCCCCAGAAAGCCAGTGCCAGGTTCCCTGGGATCTTAGATACAGTATCAGAATCTTAAACTAGCAGTCCAGAAAATCTGCAGTCTTCTTCTGTGAGGTATTTCCACCGTTCATGATGTACCCCGCATAGGTATTTGTTCCTGGACTCCTATGATGCTCTTATTTTTCAGTATTTGTGGGGCACAGCATTGTGGGACCTATAGGGAAGACTACAGGTTTCCAAATCATTTTCTATGTTTAAATTCTGCCCCTCTCAGACAAGTACTTAATTCTTTAAGGGTTTCTTTAAGGGATTCTTTAAGATTACTCTAAGACGCAGAGTAATATCTACCTTTCTGGGTGGTTGACAACATTATCAATAAAGTATGTAAAACACCTCAAACAGTAGTGATCTATCTCCTCAAACAGTGACCTATTTTAAAGTGATTATCAGGAGTCTGACAGGTATAAAAAAGTTTTTATTATCAGCATTGTACAGTTTTCATAGATTTTATCAAGCGTTCTCCAAAATATATCTCCAAGAGAGTAAGTCTGTTTTATAGGATACCATATGCCTGAGGAAGACCCAATCTCTAGGGCGTTTTTTTGTTTTGTTTTTGTTTTTTTGAGACGGAGTGTCGCTGTGTCACCCAGGCTGAAGTGCAGTGATGTGATCTCAGCTCACTGCAACCTTTGCCTCCCGGGTTCAAGCAATTCTTCTGCCTCAGCCTCCCAAGTAGCTGGAACTACAGGCACATGCCATCACGCCCAGCTAACTTTTGTATTTTTTTATATTTATTTATTCATTCATTTTTGAGACAAAGTTTTACCCTGTTGCCCAGGCTGGAGTGCAATGGGGCAATCTCAGCTCACCGCAAACTCTGCCTCCCAGGTTCAAGCGATTCTCCTGCCTCGGCCTCCCAAGTAGCTGGGATTATAGACACGTGCCACCATGCCCGGCTAATTTTGTATTTTTAGTAGAGATGGGGGTTTCTCCATGTTGGTCAGGCTAGTCTTGAACTCCCAACCTCAGGTGATCCGCCCACCTCGGCCTCCCAAAGTGCTGGGATTAAAGGTGTGAGCCACCGCGGCTGGCCCCCATCTCTAGTTTTTACTACCCTTCTTTTCTCTCTTCTTCCCTTTCTACATTCAGAAGCCCCTTCCTTAAATCCTAAGATCCTTTTGTAGGCAGTCCTTGAAACTGATTAATTTAATGCTGTTTTGTCCTCTATATAAAATTGTTAGCCTTTGCTGAGACTTCTCTGTTTCTTCACAGGGTTTTCCCTTTTTTTTCTTCCTCCAGATGGCTCTTTTTATTAGTTGGCTTATAATAGGGGCAGGTCAGTTTGCTGGAGATAGAAAAACGTTGAAAAACACAGCAAACAAGACACAAGCTAAATAAGCAGCGATTGCTATCCAAAACCTTGGATCTTTCAGCAGTGCTTTATCAAAGCAGCTAAACACCGTGTAGCCGATGGACATTCCAGCAAATCCACCTGCAATGTGAGCTGCAAAAGACACCTTTGGAGATAAGGGAGGGAAATGGAAATAAGTGAAGACAATGCTAATTGTGTATTTCAGTTGCATCTTTCTTATTCAAACACAAATACCATCACAGTCAAACAAGGGTCTTAAAGGTCTAGAGAACTAGGGGGTAAGGCAAAAGAGACACAAAACTTCATATGCACAGAGAGAAGGAGATACTCGGAAACATACAAAGCTTAAAAATGTCGTTTTTCACCCATTCTCTGAGTACAAAAGACAGAGAAATTGCTTCTCATTCTTCATCATCATTGCATTTAAAATAATTCTACATAATGCCAACTAAGAGAACAGTTGCGTTTCCATGAAGCATCTCTGTAGCAGCATAATCTGATCCCACATACATGGGATGTCATAATTAAAACAAAAGTAATAATATACACACAAACACCCAAACAGAAACTACTCAATTCAAAGACAAATCCTGGCAAAGCTGGAAATTTTTGTCAATTTTCTTTATTATGCATTTAATTTCCCAAATTTTCATCGCTGTTTTCCAATCTGCTTGTTTGTTTTGTTTTGTTTTTTGAAATGAGGTCTCCACTCTGTCACCCACACTGGAGTGCAGTGGCATGATCACAGCTCACTACAGACTCGACCTCTGGGACTCAAGCAATCCTCCCATCTCAGCTCCCCAAGTAACTGGGACTACAGGCACACACCATCATGCCTGGCTAAACCAATCTGCTTTTTATTCTAAGTGGACAGGAAAATCCAATCTCTCCTTTTTTGGAATAGCTACCAACATGGCAGGTGCGGTGAAGAAGAACCAGTGATCAGGGCTATGAGAGAGTTAAGCTGAAGGACAATTCAAAAGTCTGATTTCCTTAAAAATTATCTTCACTTCCAAATGGAAATTTGGCTGTCCTAAATCACAGCGTTGTAACCCCTATTTGGTAACCCTTTTTGACAATAAGCACATTTCTATTTTTAAAAAGAAAGAAACTGAACTCACCGGAGGCCCATTTTCAGGAACAAAGCACCTTCTATAGAGAGCAAATCCCATGTCCGACACAACTAGAAGGAAAAACACCCTGATAAAGGCTCTGAATCTCCACAATAGTACACCAAATGTTTTTGGTTCCCCTCTAATCGTAATAATACTAGGTATCATTTATTGAGACTTACTCTGCCCCATGTGCTGTTCTAAAAGCTCTTTTAAGTCATTAATCCTCATAACGACCTTATGAAGTAGGAACCATCATTATTCCATTTTACAGATTTATTCATCCAACAAGCATTCATTGTCCTCTATGTGTCAGGCATATTCTAGGTGGTAGAGAGGCAGCAATGGACAGATCTGACAGCCCTGCCTCATGGAGCTGACAGTAAAACAGTATGTCAAATGGTGCTAAGTGCTGTGGAGAAAATACAAAGAGAGGAAGAAGAACTGAGGTTGCCAGATGTTGCATGTGATTTTCAATAGGGGTGTCAAGGATGATCTCTCTGAGAATATGACACTGGACAGCGGTAAGGGTACAAGTCATGCTGCTATTCAACACAAGAGTGTTTCAGAGAGAGGGAAAAGTCCCGAAGCAGGAATGTGCCTGGTGTGTTTGAGAAATACCAAAGCAGTTAAGCTGGCTAGATCAGTGGTTTTCACAGTGGTTTTTACCAAGACCACCAGCATCAGCTTCACCTGGAAACTTACTAGAAATGAAAACTTAGACCCACCCCAGACCTATTGAACCAGAAACATTGAAGGTGGAACTCAGCTTTCTATGGAGTTAGGTCTTTGTTTTTGTTTTCAGAAGGTGAGTTGTACACTCCTTAGCAGATTCCAACTTCCGCGGCTGTGTTTTCCAACCACCAACTGTGGTCAAGTTGTTGTTTCCAACAACTTCTTTGTTTTTGTTTGTTTGTTTGTTTGTTTGTTTTGAGACGGAGTTTCACTCTTGTTGCCCAGGCTGGAGTGCAATGGCGCAATCTCGGCTCACCGCAACCTCCGCCTCCTGGGTTCAGGTAATTCTCCTGCCTCAGCCTCCTGAGTAGCTGGGATTACAGGCACGTGCCACCATGCCCAGCTAATTTTTTGTATTTTTTAGTAGAGACGGGGTTGCACCATGTTGACCAGGATGGTCTCGATCTCTTGACCTCATGATCCACCCGCCTTGGCCTCCCAAAGTGCTGGGATTACAGGCGTGAGCCACTGCGCCCGGCCCAACAACTTCTTTGTTTTAACAAGACCTCCAGGTGATTCTGGACTAGAGTTAGGAATAAGGTTGTGGGTGATGAGATTAGACAAGTAGCAGGGGACAGCTTATGTAGGGTCTGTATGGACCATTGTAAGGACTTCAACTTTTAATCTGAGTGACAGGAAGTCTTTGAAAGCTCTCGAGCACAGGAGTGACGTGATACATTTTCTTTGTTTTCTTGTTTGAGACAGTCTCAACTCTGTCGCCCAGGCCGGAGTGCAGTAGTATGATCTTGGCTCACTGCAACCTCTGCCTCCCAGGTTCAAGTGATTCTCAAGCCTCAGCCTCCTGATTAGCTGGAATTACAGGCATGCATCACCACACCTGGCTAACTTTTGTACTTTTTTTTTTTTTTTTTTTTGAGACGGAGCTGCAGTATAGGAAGCAGACTACAAGGAAGCAAGAACAGGAACTGGAAGAGCAGCTGGAAAAGTACTATTGTAGCAATCGAAGTGAAAAAGGATGGTGACATTTTACACATAAGGAAGCCAAGACAACAAGGCTCCGCTCTCAGCCACCACGCTAATTGCCTGTAATTACCATCAGGAATTGTGAAGGTGTCAGTCCATGAAAGGAAATGATTCCATATTCTCCAATAAAACTGTGAGAGCCAGAAGTTAGGTAGTCTTCAAGTAAGTCCGATCTGTGCTGCAAAAGGAGCTTCCAGTTCCTTGGTCTAGAAGAACTCTGCCCTATATGTTACTGCTTAGAAACATCTCTTACAGATATCACATTCCTCACCCATCGCCTAATTCCCTGTGCTCTACTTAGTGAGCCACTGTGTCCTAGGAGATGAAAAGACCTAGTCCTTGCCTTTGGGAAAATAGCATCAGGACATGTGTTCTGACTAGATTCCCTTTCAATACTGTATTGACTGATGTTGAAGTCACTGGACAGAAATTGAGGTCGAGAAAGTATTCAATATTCCTTTAATTGTAAATGACTATTACACAAAGTGCTAGATTAATGAGGCTATATCATATTTTCAATCATTATTTGCATTTCCTGGTCCACATAAAGAACATGCCCATGGGACTAGGAAAGTATTTTTAAAAAACACTGCCTTGGCTGGGCGTGGCAGCTCACACCTGTAATTCCAGCTTTTTGTGAGGTGGAGGCAGACGGATCACGAGGTCAGGGGTTCAAGACCAGCCTGGTCAACATGGTGAAACCCCATCTCTACTAAAAATACAAAAGTTAGCCAGGCGTGGTGGCGGGTACCTGCAATACCAGCTACTCAGGAGGCTGAGGCAGGAGAATCGCTTGAACACGGGTGGCAGAGGTTACGGTGAGCCAAGATCGCACCTTGCACTCCAGCCTGGGCCATAAGAATGAAACTCCAGCTCAAACAAACAAACAAAAACTGCCACATAACTGGAAACGTTTACTTTGGTTTAGTCTTCCACAATTGGAGACCTACTCTCAGAAAGTCTTTGTCACCATTAGTATGTTAATTTCTCCCACCAGTTTCTCTCCACCTTACCCCCTTCCTAGATCTGACTTTGGCTCTTTCCTCTTTCTGCTTCCTAGGGGACTTTTCTTCCAGGTTACTGCCCCCTCTAAACTGAGACATGTCTTCCCACCTGAAAAGCAGCCCTTATTCCAGGAAGCCAAACCACTGTCCTCATTAAAAATTTGACATTTACTTTAAAAGAGTTCCCTTCATATGGATTTTTTTCTTCTTTGTAAGACAACCTCACTCTGCCACCCAGACTAGAGTACAGTGGCTCACTGCAGCCTCAAGCTTCCAGGCTCAAGCAAATTCTTCCACCTCAGCCGCCTAAGTAGCTGGAGCCACAGGCCCACACCACAACACCTGGCCAATTTTTTTGTAGAGACAGAGTCTCCCTATGTTGCCCAGGCTGGTCTCAAACATAATGCTTGATGAAGGAATGTTTTTTAGGCCAATTGCCATTCACAATTAAAAAGAATATTTACCACTTGGCTGGGCGAGGTGGCTGACACCTGTAATCCCAGCACTTTGGGAGGCTGAGGCAAGTGGATCACCTGAGGTCAGGAGTTCGAGACCAGTCTGACCAATATGGTGAAACCCCATCTCTACTAAAAATACAAAAATGAGCCGGGCCTCATGACCTGTGCCTGTAGAAAGGAGAGCCTGAGACAGGAGAATTGCTTGAACCCGAGAGGCAGAGGTTGCAGTGAGCCGAAATTGCGCCACTGCACTCCAGCCTGGGTGACAGAGCAAGACTCAGTCTCAAAAAAAAAAAAAAAATGAATTATTTTATCTCAGAGTGAAATGTTAGTGTTCTTAGAATTAAATGGTCAATAAACTAAAGAGTCCCTTGTCAACAGACATAGTTGCCTCTGTTCCTGCAATGGAAATAATTGAACCCTTGATACAAATTGCAAAATCCTGTTTTCTTACTATATGGACAGCCAGCATCTTAGGCTTTATCAGGTATAACCTCTACCTTGGCTTTCAGGTCTGACCCCATGGTCTGTCATTCTTCTGCAGCCCTCCAAGTGGAGAAACTTCATCTGGAGCAGGTCCATCAACTCCAGTTACCACCCCCACCTTTGCTCTTGTTTCCGTCTACGCTCTACAGCCTGCTGTCATCTGGAATCCACCTTTATCTCAGACTCAGCTGCACTTCCATCCCCTCTCCAGACAGCATTCTTCCTAACCTCCCTTAGCATGTAATTCTAGAATTCTTGGAGATTTCAAAAGCCACATTAGTCACCCTCCTAGTCTGGGCTTCTTGAACGGTTACCCCCGCCACCCCCCAACTCTCTCTCTTTAATCCTCAACTGTCACTCAATACTTATATCCTGGATCTGTTTTGTTTTGTTCTGTTCTGTTTGTTTGTTTTTTGAGACGGAGTCTTGCTCTGTCACCAGGCTGGAGTACAGTGACACGATCTAGGCTCACTGCAACCTCCACCTCCTGCGTTCAAGCAATTCCCCTGCCACAGCCTCCCAAGTAACTGGGACTACCAGTGCGCACCACCACACCCGACTAGTTTTTGTATTTCAGTAGAGACTGGGTTTCACCGTATTGGCCAGGATGGTGTCAATATCCTGACCTCACGATCCACCCACCTGAGCCTCCCAAAAGTGCCGGGATTACAGGTGTGAGCCACCGCGCCCAGCCAGTTGTTTTTTGGTGTTTTTTTTTAATCTGAAAATTTAGAATTGAGGAAGAAAAAGATTGTATATGTGGTTTCCAAGTTTTTCCATTGCAGACAAAATCACGTACAGCTTCCAATATATGAAAAAGTCCAGTACATAAAACCTAAGTGAAGCTATCGCGGTTCCAGTAGCGGGGGTGCCTGAGGCTCTACCCTCTTGGCTTCCTCCACTCCGTAATGATACAAAAAGCAAAAATACACCACATAGGCATGTCTAAGAACCACCCATGAGAGTCTGTAGAACTCTTTTGTTTACTTCATTCTGCTTAGTCTGTGAAGCGGACAATTTTTTCTAACTGTAGGACAGCAGTCATTCTCCGTGTCAGTGTCTGGGAAAGGAGGAAAGGCCTTCTGAAGGCTAAACCAATAAAATTGTGAAAATATTTTGAAAGTTGATTATGCAAAATAGGTCATTCTTGTCATACCCAACTAAATCAGAGTCGAGGGGACAGGGGACAAAAGCACTCAGGCACATAGCACTGCTCCAACAATTGAATTCTCTATCAGCCCAGCTGCTGAAACTACCTGCTCTAACCATAAGACTAGTTTCACCTAATAGCTGCTGAAACAAATTGAGTCTAAGAATCAGGTCTAGGCCGGGCGCGGTGGCTCACGCCTGTAATCCCAGCACTTTGGGAGGCCGAGGCGGGTGGATCACGAGGTCAAGAGATCGAGACCATCCTGGTCAACGTGGTGAAACCCCGTCTCTACTAAAAATACAAAACATTAGCTGGGCATGGTGGCGCGTGCCTGTAATCCCAGCTACTCAGGAGGCTGAGGCAGGAGAATTGCCTGAGCCCAGGAGGCGGAGGTTGCGGTGAGCCGAGATCGTGCCATTGCACTCCAGCCTGGGTAACAAGAGCGAAACTCCATCTCAAAAAAAAAAAAAAAAAGAATCGGGTCTAAACAGCACAAGTCTAAGACTGGTTTTCCCCACCACCATCACTCACCAACCAGCTCCCAAAGGCGTCTCTAGTACCAATGAGCTCTCTTTCAAAATAACATTAACATTTTTCTTTCAAAGGAAACCCCCAGCCTTTTCTTTTGTTCTTCAGACATACCATGGACCTCCCAAGTCTGTGTGTTTGCCCCAAATTGCAATTCTGTGATTCCCAAATAAAGTGTTTAGACATTCGTCTCTGCGTTTCATTTAGACTTCGACAGTATGACGTGTTCACAAAACACTTACTGATAAGGATGATGATCAGCAGTCTGAAAATTCCGAAGGCAGGAATCATTTCTCGAAAATTCTTGCAAAGAGATAAATAATACTCATATAAGCTATCAGTGGGGTGAAACCTCAACTCTACTCTCTCTTCATCGGCTCTTCATTTGAAATAATCTTCCAGTGTCAAATATTTGCAAAACAAAGCATGAGTGTCACAGCTGAGTTTTCAAACGTATTTGGGAAGTACAATGCACTTTGGAGAATAAAATGCCAAGATATTTAATTTCATGATATAAATGTTGCAATTTTGCTAGCCAGAAATAATCTAAATAAAAGTAACATAAAATCAACACTTAACATGTCAATAAATAAATAGAGAAATATTGTTAAACTAAGTTTGATGAAATGTTCCTAAGATTTTCGGTCAATATTCATTTGATATTTCTTCATCCTCTTTCCCAGTAGTATTTAGCAAAGACTTACCTGAGATTTGAGTGTTATCTTGATTTTTTGAAGTAATTTTAAAAATACTGAAGATATTGGTCAAAAATTATTGAAGGGTTTTTTTGGAGGGAGGGTATGGGGAGGGTTCTGCAGGGGGAGGTAGAAGACAGGGTCTCACTGTGTTACCCAGGTTGGAGTGCAGTGACGCAATCTATAGTTCACTGCAGCCTCGAACTCCTGGGCTCAAACCCTCCTCCTATCTCAGACTCCTGAGTAGCTGGGACTACAGGTACACACCGGCACACCTGGCTCATTGCTGGAATTATAGCTTTGGGTCCCTTATGTGTCACTACAAACTGCTGAGTCAGACATTTCTACCATAATTTATTGAATTACTTGTCCCTTCCCTTTCAAATTAGTAACTCTCTTCCCAAGGAGTAAAGATGCTGAAATAGGCATGTTTATTCAAAATCAAATATTTTCAAACTCTTATGACCATGACCTACAGAAAGAAATAATTTCCATAACAAGCCAGTACATACATAAATCAAACAATAACACTGGCTTTTTTTTTCTTGGGTTTAATTTTTGGCCACAATTCCTTGAAGTTAGTCTACAACCACTAATGGGTTGCAATCCAAAAAAAACCACTTTTCTAAGTGATTTCTATATTTGGAACGGTTTTATAATTGCTTTACACTTTTCTTCCTAGAATTTTTTCTTTTTTTTTTTGAGACCGAGTCTCACTCTATCGCCAGGCTGGAGTGCAGTGGTGTGATCTCGGCTCACTGCAACCTCTACCTTTCGGATTCAAGCAATTCTCCTGTCTCAGCCTACTGAGTAGCTGGGATTATAGGTGTGTGCCACGACGCCCAGCTAATTTTTGTATTTTTAGTAGAGATGGTGTTTCACCATGTTGGCCAGGATGGTCTCAATCTCTTGACCTTGTGATCTGCCCACCTCAGCCTCCCAAAGTGCTGGGATTACAGGCATGAGCCACCTCACCTGGCCTCTTTCTAGAATTTTTTGTTCTGAGATGCAGTTTCACTCTAGTTGCCCAAGCTGGAGTACAATGGTGCAATCTTGGCTCACTACAACCTCAGCTCACTGCAACTTCTGCCTCCCAGGTTCAAGCAATTCTCCTGCCTCAGCCTCCCAAGTAACTGGCATTACGGGTGCACACCACCATGCTCAGCTAATTTTTTGTATTTTTAGTAGAAACAAGGTTTCACCATGTTAGCCAGGCTGGGCTCAAACTCCTGACCTCAGGTGATTCACCCACCTCGGCCTCCCAAAGTGCTGGGATTACAGGCTTGAGCCACTGCACCTGGCCCCTAGAATATTTTTAAAGCATACCTATGGTTCCCAAGGGGGAAAAAAAAAAGCATACCTAAATGGCAAAAGGACTAACAACTAGTCAGGATTTTTAAACCTATTTTTAAAAGTGAGTGGCACTCTTACATATTACTATGAGAGTGCAAGACTATATGATAACTTTGGAAGGCAATTTGGCATGTACTTTTTTTTTTTTTTTTTTTTTTTTTGAGACAGAGTCTCGCGTGTTACCCAGACTGGAGTGCAGTGGCTCAGTCTTGGCTCACTACAACCTCCGTCTCCTGGGTTCAAGCAATCCTCCTGCCTCAGCCTCCCAAGTAGCTGGGACTACAGGCATGTCCCACCACACCTGACTAATTTTTGTATTTTTAGTAGAGATGGGATTTCACCATGGTGGCCAGGATGGTGTCCATCTTTTGACCTCATGATCTGCCCGCCTTGGCCTCCCAAAGTGCTGAGATTACAGGCATGAGCCACGATGCCCAGCCTAGAAATTTATCCTACAAAAAGAAAATTACACAAATGCAAAAAGATAAATGTAAAAGAGCATTTCTTATAGCATTACTTCTAAACATGAAAAGCAGGAATCACCCCCGAATTTTTTCAATGAAAGATTCATTAAATAAATCATGGAGCATCTATGTAAACGATGCTAGGGAGCATCTGCTAAGCAGTGAGGATTTCTAAGTGATGGCATGGGTAGATGGTCAGGGTGCTCTATGATAAAATGCAGAACAATATAAGGGTGATGTCATTTTTATAATATTAACATTGGTAGGATTTTGAATACATGTTAGAAAAGGTTGGGGCTGCTCTGCCTATGAAGTAGCCCTTCTTTTATTCCTTTACTTTCTTAATAAACTTGCTTTCCTTTAAGAAAACAAAAGGTCTGAAAAAATATGTATATAAAACTGTCAACAACCTCTTTCAACACCCACCCATTAACAGATATATATTGAGGACCTTAACTTTCTATTTTTTTATTTAAAATGTTATGTAGTACTCATAACTTTTGAAATCAGAAAAAAAATGATAAAAATATGAAAGGAAGCTAGCTGCAGTGGCTCACGCCTGTAATCCCAGCACTTTGGGAGGCCAATGTGGGCAGATCACTTGAGCCCTGGAGTTCGAGACCAGCCTGGGCAACATGGCGAAACCCTGGCTCTACAAACAATACAAACATTAGTCAGGCATGGCAGCCCATGCCTGTAGTCTCAGCTATTCAGGAGGCTGAGGTGGGAGGATTACTTGAGCCCAGGAGGCAGAAGTGCAGTGACTCGGTATCACACCATTGCACTCCAGCCTGGGCAATGGTGCAATACTCTGTCTCGAAAAAAAAGAAAGAAAGAAAAGAAAGGGGCCAGGCACCGTGGCTCATGCCTGTAATCCCAACACTTTGGGAGGCTGAGGCAGGCAGATCATGAGGTCAGGAGTTGGAGTCCAGCCTGGCCAACATGGTGAAACTCTGTCTCTACTAAAAAATACAAAAATTAGCTGGGCATGGTGGCACACGCCTGTAGTCCCAGCTACTCGGGAGGCTGAGGCAGGAGAATCTCTTGAACGTGGGAGGCGGAGTTTGCAGTGAGCCGAGACTGCGCCACTGCACTCCAGCCTGGGTGACAGAGTAAGATTCCATAAAAAAAGAAAAGAAAAGGAAATAAAATGGCATTGCCATACAATTCTCAGAAAAATGAGTGTTCAGTAAATATTGATAAATGAAGATTCATTGAACCGAAGAACAGTTACTGTTTGCTGTTTTTTTAAGAGACCCATGGACTCCATCCCCCTGGTTCTTACCACCAGAACATTCATAAAATAGCCTCCCATCAGAGCATAGACTCCTCCTGAAGCTCCCACAAGGCATTTGAGGGGATCAAAGATGGAGCTGGCAAGGGACCCTAAAGAAATAAAACACAAAGATCAGACATGACTAGAGGGATCAGAAAAGATAAATCTTTCTAATCTAAGGTAGACGTTGGGGAAGTTTGGTCTATTATCATATTAGCAAGCAACAGATCTATTTTGCCCATTTCATATAGCTGTATATGCTAACTACCACAGTGTTTCTGAAAACATTGAATGTTCATTAGAACGGCTACATAACGGTGACAATGGCAGAATTGTCTGGAGCCGGAATTACCAGCAATATGACTTGAGGAAGTTACTTAACTCCTCTATGTCTCAGTTTCCCTACCTGCAAAATGGGGCTATTAATAGAACTTAATTCAATGGATTTTCAGGGTAAGTAAATGCATTGATGTGTGTTCGTGCTTAGAACACTGTCTGACATGTATTACATATTTGTTAGCTATCAGGCTGGTGCAAAAGTAATTGTGGTTTTGCCATTACTTTTAAGGGCAAAAACTGCAATTATTTTTGCATCAACCTAATATTACTATAAAATATCCTATGTTTAGTCAAAATACCTAAGACAATCCAATACTTTATTATCTAATGGCTGTCTTTCTCAATGAGCTATGTGGCCTCAGAATCCTTCTCAACACATCATCTATTCAGATTCCCCAAGTAAGATGAATCCTATTTCCTAACCTAATCCTAGATTTACTGGACCAAAACAAGGCTTTACAAACCACCTTACGCTAAGACTAAAATATTCTCTCTATATCACTTAGTTCTAGTACTTGGTCTATTCCTTTCAAGGCCCTCCTTCGTTTCCTTAGTGTATAATACAATACAATACCTACTTTGTGCAAGAAAAAGTCTCGTCCTTAGTAATTTTACAAAAAGATGAGCAAACAACTATTATAAATGCAGAATATAACTACTATGACAAAAATAAATTCATTGTAGAAGTACTTAGGAAGGAGTGATTTCTCAACAGAAGGGTGGAATCCTTGCTACTCTGAGGAGGAGGAGACAGCATTTTGATTAAACTTTGAAGAATCTTCAAGATTGGCCAGACATGGTGGCTCACTCCTGTAATCCCAGCACTTTCTGAGACTGAGGCAGGAGGATTGCTTGAGGCCAGGAAGCCAAGAGCCTGAGATCAACCTGGTCCACAGAGTGAGACTTGTCTCCAAAAATATAAGAAAAATATTAGCCAAGCATGGTGGTACATGTCTGTAGTCCTACCTGCTCAAGAGGGTGAGCTGGTAGGGTCACTTGAGCCCAGGAGTTTGAGGCTGCAGTGAGCTATGATCACGCCACTGCATTCCAGCCTGGGTGACAGAGCAAGACCTCTTCACCTCCTTTCCACCCCCACAAACAAAAGGATTGGATAAGAAAAACAAAAGAGAAGAAGGTATTCAGGACTTAGAGAACTGGAAGAGCAATGGCATGGAAAAAGGTATATGGATAACTGAAGATCAGTGAGAAGTAGTCCAGCAGGCTGAGCACAGTGGCTCATGCCTGTAATCGCAGCACTTTGGGAGGCCAAGGCAGGTGAAATGCCTGAGCTCAGGAGTTTAAGACCAGCCTGGGCAACATGTGAAACCCTGTCTCTACTAAAAATACAAAAATTAGCCAGGAATGGTGGCAGGCACCTGTAATCCCAGCTACTGGGGAGGCTGAGGCAGGAGAATCACTTGAACCCAGGAGGCAAAGGTTGCAGTGAGCTTAGATCATGCCACTACACTCCAGCCTGGGTGACAAGACTGAGACTCCATCTCAAAAACAATAAAAAAATACAAAATACAAAACATTAGCCAGGCGTGGTGGCGTGTGCCTATAATCCCAACTACTGGGGAAGCTGAGGCAGAAAAATCATTTGAACCCAGAAGGCAGAGATTGCAGTGAGCCAAGATTGTACCATTGCACTCCACCCAGGTGACAGAACGAGACTCTGTCTCAAAAGAAAAGAATTTGTCCAGAGCAACTTAGAGTATCAATTCTCAAATGCTGACCTATAGCCTAGGGCTGGGGTGATTGTATCATAATCATATGATAAATTTATTTTTAAAATAGATACAAATGTCTACTTCTGACTATGATAAAGTAACAAGAAAAGGATTTGCTGTCTCACACGAAAAAGCCAAAAGCACTGGACAATATATATGAAAGAATGGTCTTCGAGATACTAGACATCCAAAAACAAAACTAGTAAACCATTTAGGGACAGGGAATCAGTTATCAATAGAGTTATCAATGGAGTTATCTGACTGCCAACATACTACCTTGAGGGAGATTACAGAATACAATGCATGAAGCCGGAACCCAGGCAGGTCTCAGCAAACTTTAAGTTGATGAGTTGAAGTTTAGAGTCCAGCTAGATCTGGACCACTAGAGTTTATAAGACAGGGTACCAGAGAATAGATTGCTGCACACAGAACACTCCAGAAAGGAGCATGGGAGGAAATTACACAAGCCAAGGAGAGAACCACCAAAAACAATATGGGAAGACTGCCTGTTGCTTACACAGCACCAGAGAGCCTATGTAACATTCTGTTCTGGAAAACTCTTTTGTTTCCACACATCATAAGTCTGGGCATTTATTACACATAAGTTACACCTCAATCTTAAAATGTATCAGGACAAAACCACATACTGCAGAGGGGCAGGGCTCCACCACCACTTACTTTCCTTGAAACAAAAGCTCAGGTATGAAGTAGTCTTCTGTGACTAAGCTTATTTCCCCTCCTTTCTGACTTCTAGGAATGATCCTTGTTCTGAATGGGATTTGAGATAATGTAGGAAACTGCTCTCAATACATAGTTTTTATTTTTTATTTTTATTTTTTGAGACAGTCTTGCCCATGCTGGAGCACAATGCCGCTCAGCCTCCTGAGTAGCTGGGACTATCGATGCGTACCACCACGCCTGGCTAATTTTTTTTTTTTTTTTTTTTTTTTTTTTTTTAGCAGAGATGGTGTTTCACCATATTAGCCAAGATGGTCTCAATCTCCTGACCTCGTGATCAGCCCACTTCAGCCTCTGAAAGTGCTGATCAGAGGCATGAGCCACTGCACCCAGCCTCAATACAGAATTTTTAAGTTGGTGAAGAAATTGGAAAGAAGGGAAATCACAGTAGGAAAATCAAGTGTGATCGGGATGAAGTTAGTAAGCAAAGGAAGTGCAGCAAGGCCCAGGCACCCCCAGAGAAAGAACTCAGACAGCAGACTCTGGCCCATCCATTTCTCCTTTGGATCTACCCCAGTCCTGCAAGCTCATGGCCAGAGTGATAATGACGAGGGAAACACCAGGGTCCTCACTGTCCTTCCTAGGGCAAGAGGACCCTAAAGACTGATAAGCCAAATCCAGGGCCATCCTCCACTGCTTATCTGCCCTGCGACTTTTCTCTAGGTCCTCTCCTCCAAGCAATGGTGGGAGTGTGTACTGGAAAACTCCGTAATTAATGGGGCATTGCTTCGAGTACACAAAAGGGTGCAGTTACAGGAATAATTAGCACCTTATCAAAAGGAATTAAACTGCTTTCAAGTAACATAACTAAGTTACAGAACAAATCTAAAAAGTATTCATGGCTGGGCATGGTGGCTCATGCCTGTAATCCCAGCACTTTGGAAAGCCAAGGCAGGCAAATCACTTGAGGTCAGGAGTTCGAGACCAGCCTGGCCAACATGGTGAAACCCTATCTCTACTAAAATACAAAAAATTAGCCAGGCATGGTGGCGCTCGCCTGTAATCCCAGCTGCCAGGAAGGCTGAGGCAGAATTGCTTGAAACCAGGTGGCGGGGGTTTCCGTGAGCCAACATCACACCATTGCACTCCAGCTTGGGTGACAGAGTGAGAATCTATCAAAAAAAAAAAAAAAAGACTTAATATTTTGCCTAAAATTAAAGGAACAGGATCTTTTGGTGGAGACGTAAAATGGTATCACTTTGCTACCATATGACCTAACAATTCCATTCCTAGGTCTATACCAAAGAGAAATGAAACCATACATCCACACGAAATCTTGTAAACAAAAAAATTTTTTTTAAAAAGATCTTGTAAACAAATGTTCATACCTGTGTTATAAATAATAGCCAAAAAGCGGAAACAACCCAAATGTCCATCAACCGACAAACGGATTAAGAAAATGTCATCTATCCACCAAATGGAATATTGTCTAGCCATAAAAAGGAATAAAGTATGAAACATGCCACAATGTGGATGAACATTGAAAATATTATGCTAAGTGAAAAAAGCCAGTCACAAAAGACCACATTATGATTCCATTTACATGAACTGTCCAGACTGAGCAAATCTATGGAGACAGAGGTAGGTTAGGGGCTGCCTAGAACTGGAGCAGGGTTATAGGGTGTGGAATGGGAGATGACTGTTAATGGATTCATTGTTTCTCTGTCGGATAAAAATATCCTAAAATTAGATTGTGACAACGGTGCACAACCTTGTAAATCAAGTAAAAAATTGAATTCTACACTTCAAATGGGTGCATTGTATATCTGATTATATCTCAGTGAAGCTGTCAGAAAAGTTTGTCCTCGTGATCCACCCGCCTCGGCCTCCCAAAGTGCTGGGATTATAGGCTTGAGCCACCCATCCTGGTCAACATAGTGAAACCCCGTCTCTACTAAAAATACAAAAAATTAGCTGGGCATGGTGGTGCGTGCCTGTAATCCCAGCTACTCAGGAGGCTGAGGCAGGAGAATTGCTTGAACTCGGGAGGCGGAGGTTGCGGTGAGCCGAGATGGCGCCATTGCACTCCAGCCTGCTGGGTAACAAGAGCGAAACTCCGTCTAAAAAAAAAAAAAAGTTTGTCAGTTTCTTAAAAGCTAAACATACTCTAGCATTGGATCAAGCCATTCCATTGTTAGGTATTTTCCCAAGAGAAATGAAAACATTTGTCCACACAAGGACTTGTACACAAATGTTCATAGCAGCTTCATTTGTAACAGCCTCCAACTGGAAACAACCCAAATTTCTACCACTGGGAGAATGGATAAATACAATGTGGTATACCCCACAATCACAATCAAATA